TTAAAAATGTGGAAGAAATTGTCGGTTTTTTAGGTTTAAAAGTGTTTAATTCTGATAATATATATATATATATATATATATATATATGTGCGAAAAGCATTATTATATTTACACTATACAGATATATATATGCGAAGAGCTTTATTATAAGCGTAATTTCAAATTACCCTTCATTCAAAGATGTAGATGCCCAATTTACAGCAGTTCCCTTCACTATAGTTTCAGTAGAAGTAAATATTTCCTTTTACGCCGATTTAAGGATTCATAACTCTGATTGGATAATGATATAGATAGATAGATGTTCCCGCCATACTATTTCTATTGGTTCAGAATTGACAACAAACACATGACTGAACCCTGATTGGATCAGGCGCTAATGGACTCGGCATACAGGAGTGTCTTGATAGCTTAATAATCTGATTAAACATTTGGACAATAGTGTTGTTTGTTTTCTGACTCAAATTGTATAAAATTCAGATATTTTCTTTTTCTCATAAGCAAGAAATGCAAAAGCCACTTTCCCAGAGAAATTGCAGATAAAAATTAACAGTTTAAGAAAAATATAAATATCTAATTCATGCTTGATTAGACAAAGCATTTACCGTTACCACTGAAAATCGGGCATTGACATCTTTACATAGAAGGTCGCACTCGCTTGACATTACGTTTACAGTCTCTTTAAGCTTGCATTTGTAAATATTTTATGTTCTGCATGATTGATAAATTTCATTTTCAACTCTGAAAGCTGGGAGGTTGATTTTCAATTTCATCATACGTGCACGATAGAATTTTTTTGCATTTGACAAATTTATATAGGTTGAAGAACAAAACATTAGCCATGATTGAATTTTCTTAAGAAAGAGGTAAAGCTGAAAGCACTAAATGAATTTGGTAACGGGAGGAAAATTTGATTTCATGAATTAAAAGTGTTCTCTATCAGTATAACGCACAACTTCAGAGAATTAAAATATATTTATACTCAAGTTTACATCATCATCACTCATCAGTCCTCAATAATTGTATGTTAAATAATTATTACTTATAAGTTGTTTATTTAAAAAGCTTTTTATTTTTATCTAGCTAATTCATCTGTTATTTGTATGATATAGGCTAAAAAATCCAAAAAAAAATTTCAAAATATTTTTTCAATTTTTTTTACGGGCAACACCGGGCCCTTCAGGTAGTATAATTATAGAGATAAGTTATCCATTCGATCTTGATTACTTGATTATTTGATTTTGAAGCAAAATACAGAGGCATTTTATTATTTTCAGTTTAAGAATTGAGATATATCAAAAAAAGTTAAACAATTAATTGTATTTTTGAAGTAGTGACAGTTCTAAGGTATTATTTGGAAAACAAGAAAATAAACATTTTCCCAACAGTTTTTCAAAAAATTTGTTTCTAAGGTTTTAAAAATAATTTTAGAGTTTGGCACTCATTCAATTGATTTAGAGGATGACAAGAAATTACATAAACAGTCACTTAAAAATTTGTATGATAAATATTTGATTTGAGCTGCCAGCATGGCAGATTTCAAACTATTATTAAAACTGGTTGAGTTTTACACAGTGAACTTGAAGGGATTCTACTCTCTACTATTTTGCGTATATACTGTCTGCTAAAGGATGTAAATAAAGTCAGCTGATGCCTTTAGCATGGCATAACTTAAATGTCGTCATTGATAATGGAAAACTAAAGTTTAATACAGAGTGGCCCAATAATTATAATTTATAATCGACATCGTTTGTGAATCGGACATGCCAGTTTACACATGAAGGGGCACTTTAGATACCGTCTGAAGTGTCTTTAAAGACACAACAACAATAAGTATATTCTTGAGTCGTCTCTCTTTTCCCGTACTTATTAACACACTCTGAATAATTGAATATTTTTTGCTTCTTTGTTTTAAAGACCTTGATAATAACTTGCAATACATTTATTAGGATCATTAGAAACATTGTACATACATTACTATTGATAATTATTAATAAAACGTATGTTTGATTAATTTAACGATTAAAAGAAACATTGTTACACACTTGTGTTACAGGGATATTCAAACCACATGAGATAATTAGTTTAAGATAAGGTAAAGTTACACTGCACCAGATTACCAGAACCAGATCAGTTCATTTTATCATTTCATCAGTTTATTTACTAAAATAAAGCTTAATTAAATCAAATTATCAACCAAATAAGCCCGAGAAATAAGCGAAAATAAAAACGAAAGGTACTGAGCCTTGCCATAACATCTGATTTTCTAATTCCTATATCTTTGTAACCCAATATTGCTAATATTATATATTTCAAACTATGAATTCTGTTAAATCAATTCATCACGTTTGAAATATCGAAGGTTTTTCTCCGACAGGTTCTAAAGATATAGGGATTAGATAATTCAAGTTTGTGGCAAAAACTCAGTTCCTTTAAAATGATGTTTCAGGAGATGAATTATTTTTCATTGTGGAAACTTACCATGTTAGGTCCAAGGGAGCCGGCTCTAGCCGCAGCTTTAATTTTTGCCAATGCATGCTCAGACAGATCAGCATGCTCGGAGCTATCCTGCAGGTTTCCCTAGATATAAATACATTTAGGATACATGCAGATTATTAAAGGGAATGATATCCTTCAGCAAATTCTGATTTTCTTTACCTTATATTATTGCAACCTGACCTTTGATAGTTATTCAGAGAAAAGGGATATCAGGATTAAAACACTTCATATCAATAATATTGATTGCAGTTTGATTTCATGAATAAATATTATATTCCAAGCACAGGTGGGTTCCCAAGCTATCTGTTAAATAATTTACAGCTGGGTTCCCAAGCTAGCTCTTAAATAATTTACAACTGCAGGTTCCCAAGCTAGCTGTTAAGTAATTTACAGCTGGGTTCCAAAGCTAGATTTTAAAAAATCTACAGCTGGGTTCCCAAGCTAGCTGTTAAATAATTTACAGCTGGGTTCCCAACCTTTCTGTTAAAAAATCTACAGCTGGGTTCCCAAGCTAGCTGATAAAAAATCTACAGCTGGATTCCCAAGCTAGCTGATAAGTAATTTACAGCTGGGTTCCAAAGCTAGATTTAAAAAAATCTACAGCTGGGTTCTCAAGCTAGCTGTTAAATAATTTACAGCTGGGTTCCCAACCTTTCTGTTAAAAAATATACAGCTGGGTTCCCAAGCTAGCTGATAAAAAATCTACAGCTGGATTCCCAAGCTAGCTGATAAAAAATCTACAGCTGGATTCCCAAGCTAGCTGATAAAAAATCTACAGCTGGATTCCCAAGCTAGCTTTTAAATAATCTACAATTTAAATAATCTACAGTTGGATTCCCAATCAAAATAATCTACAGCTGGGTTCCCAATTAAAATAATCTACAGCTGGGTTCCCAAGCTAGCTGATAAAGAATCTACAGCTGGGTTCCCAATTAAATTAATCTACAAACCTGAACTTGTCTAAACTTGGCAAGGTTTAGAGCTGCAATCTCTTCAGCTTCTTCGATCTGCTTCTTGTAAGATTTAACTTTCCCCTGGAGCTGGTCAACCAGACCCTGCAACCATGAAGGGATAAAAGGTGTAATAAAAGGTGATCCTTCCTGTAAAGATGGCATTGCTCGATTCACAACGGTACTCTTAAAATCTTTATGGGATCAATGATATTTCTATGTTTATGAGTGTTTAATTCTGATAATTCTTATATGTTTTTAGGCAGTAGAAATGCGCAAGTCACTTTTGGAGGGATACACGATTAAAAAGAATCAGTATTCTTAATTATAAACATTGATATTAAAATGCATACATAATCAAACAAATTTTTAAGGTTCCCGTTGTGAATCGGGCATTGTAATCTCTGCTGGAGGGTCACTGGAAATTATGCTTACAGTACTTTATAAAACATGAGAATTAAAATCGTCTTTGTTCTCCGCAACATTCATTTGTAAATATATAATATATATAAAAATGTAAATCCTAAGGAAAAAACTTAATCTAATCTTTCGATTTTTAAAATTTTCAAGATTTTTAAGATAGCTTAACAGACTTGTAATGTCAAATAATCATTTATTTAAATATATTAAAAAATTTATTTTTTTAAACATTGTTAGAAAGCTATAAGAACAAACTACTGCTTGTTAGACATAATAGGTGAACCACTCCAACGGAAAAGGAAAAATTTTCTTTCTTGCGTTTGATCAAAAACGAAAATTCTTTAATAAAATTTGTAATTTAGTTTTTAGAAAAAGGCATTAATACAGAAAACAAAATGAATGAAAGACGTAATATGAATATGAACATTTTGGTGTTATACATATTATGATAAGTTTTATTTTAACGGGGCGCGAAACTTCCTGATTTTCTATAATTTTGCTGTTTACCTGCATCCTCTCATGATTCTTCCTGTCCTCCTCCTGCTGGTAGGTCAGCTCCTGGATCCTTCTCTCACTCTTCTTCAGGTTCTTGGTTGCATCCATCATCCTCCTGTTCTCCGAGTCCAGCTCTGCCTCCAGTTCATGAATCCTTGTCTCCATCTTATTCATCGCCTTCTTCCCACCCTAGGCAAAAAAAAACAGAAATAAAGGGACTGTAAGCGTAAATTCAAGTGAACCTTCATGTCAAGATGGTAATGCACAATTCACAACGGACCCTTGAAACTTATATCTGATCAATAATGTGGAAGATATTGTAGTTTTTCTAGGTTTAAAAGTTCTGAAAATTCTCACATGTTTGCCTGCAGTTAAATTCACTAGTTTGACTTCAATGTCGGAAGTCAAACCTTATAGAAATCCAACGTATAGAAACAGCTACGTATAGCAACAAGGCGTATTTTGCGGCAGAATATTTTTTATATTTTTGAGAAATTAAACGTTTTTGTAAAACATTGTAGCTTATCATTATCATTATCATAATTTCTATTTTTCTAACATACCCTAGACATTAAAGGAGCAAAATAGTTTAATATGCAAGTTTGTATGTGTTTTAGGTCCCTCCAGATTTTATTATGTATTGACAACATAAACATTGACAACATAAATGAATGATTATATGGTTATGCATAAAATTGCGCATTACTATTAAAAAAAATATTTTTTTAATAGTATATTATATATAAAAAATATTTTTCTACACTTTTATTTTTAGAAGAAAAAAAATTTCTCAAAAGTATAAAATGCTAATATGATTTCATAAAATTCCGCGTTACCATTTAAATAAAAGGATTTTATGAAAATTATTTCTACTTTACACTGATTATTTAATTTCTCAAGAATATAAAAAATGTTTTCCCGGAAAATACGCCTTGTTGCTATACGTAGCTGTTTCTATACGTTGGATTTCTATATGGTTTGACTTCCTTACGGTTTTCCGAATTTTAACAAAAATTCTTCTTAACTGCTATTCTAGTGTAACTTTAGAGAGTGCACTGCACGTTCTTCATTTTCTTCTTGCGTTTTTAAATTAATTCCTCTTCAACATCCTGTGATAGTAATACCCTGTAGGGATATCTTTATTTAAGGAATCAGGTTTAAAATTGCCCATATTGGATATCGAGATTAGTTATTCAAGATTAGCACAAAAGTTCCTCGGGACGTTATAGCTTTTTTAGTTTTGATTAATATTACCTTTAAGAAACTATGTTCTGCTTCATCCAGTCTACAAGCTGCATCTTTCACCTAGGAAATAAATCAAAATATTGAAGTTTAATATTAGCATTAGCTATCAAACCTGAGCTTCCACCAGTTTCCTGTCTCTCTCCAGCACCTGAGCTAGCTCTTGCTCTGCTCTCAGTTCATCAGCAAGCCTGGATAAAGTTTATTTATCACAAAATATAGTCGACCTATAAAACTATGGATTATGATGTCGACTGTTGATTCAAGCTATGATTCTTGATATTTTCATGAACACAAACGGCAATTGTACATTGAACACAGATTCGCTTAATAAGTGGATTTTTAATATTATAAAATAGTCAAATATTAATTATATGACGTCTTCATATTCCAACATTTTAAGGATAATCTTGTATATAATGCTTGTTTACAAGGAATATTAACTAAACTTTTATATACGGTGATAACAAGAAAACTCTAAAATAGGAAGACGACTTTTATAATCAAGTTATGGACTTTAAACAGCAATTGTGCAGAGTAAACAGACCAATTTTACTTATTCAGTGATTTGTTAAGTGTCTAGTGAAACTATTTGCTTTGTAACAACATCAAATACACTTAAGTATTGCTATAAAGTCGTCTTCAGCTGTTCCAAAGTTTTCTGGTTATCACTGTACTACTATTTTTATTTTGCATGAGTAAAAAAAAGAGAAATGTTGAAAATATTCAACCAATAAGAAATTACTTGATATTTTTGAAAAGGTCCAGACTGCTAATAAGTTGCAGGTTCAATGTTAATTTTATTTGTGTATCTGTAAAGGACTCGTTTTTTGCTCTAGGTATTAGAAAGTAATTGGAAATATCCTCATCAAATTTTGCGTAAGAGTTTGCAACCTTAGGATCATTATGTTTTTGAACCATCATGTACCTTGCAGCATCAATCATTGCACTCCGGGCCTTTTCTTCAGATAGCCGGGCCTCAGAGTTCATCTCATCAAGATCATTCTAGAGAATATTAACAGCTAATATATCAAAGAGCGTTCCTCAGCATATCATTACATCCATAGCTTAAAAACCAAAACAAGGACAAAATACCCAAAGAATCTTAAATTTTTTCTTGCCTGAAAACTTTGTGTTATTAGCCTTATTCAATTGAGAGCTATACAAATTTTGCAAATTTTACAAAATTAAATTCAATCTAGAAAAATGGCATCTGCGCTAAAAACCGGAAAAATGCTAAACAAAATTTGACATGCTAAATAAATATTAAGAAAAAGCTAAGTACTAAGTACTAAAACATCGATGTTTAGTTCGTGTTGAAGTACTGCAACTCTTTTTGGCCTTCAGTTTTACATTTCTTACTCATTTTATATTTTGTTGTTTTTAGGTTAAGTTTTAAAGGAAAATTTTTACAAAATGCTGAGAGTTTTATATTGCAAGCAAATTTTAAATTACTCCGAGCATATGATTTAATATGTTTCAATTTGTATAAAACTTACGTTAAGAGCTTCTATTTCGATCTCACATTTCCTCCTGGCTGCTGTTAGAGACTGATTCTCTACTGTTTGTGCGCCCAAAGTTTCATTACAATCAGTCAAATCATTCTCAAGCATTCTTCTAGCACGATCAGCTTGTTCAAGAAGAGTTCTAGCCTCTTCAAGCGCGTTCCTATGTGCGTGAGCGCGTCTGACTGCTGCAAGAAGAGCGTCATGTGCTTCGGATTTGGCCTTGCTCTCTTCCTCTAACTGCATCTGGAGAATATGGTTTAATGTTGAAAATATCTTTCAAAAGAAATCTTAATATAATTGCTCATATCAAAAAAATCATCAAATTAAATTTTGAGAAATTACCTTTTTTTAAAGTTCTTCTTATATTTATATAGTATTGTCATAAGAAAACATACCAGAGCTGAAAACTTTAGAATGGGATATCCCTAATCCAGATCGGTTAATTAATCTGGAGATCAATAACAAGAGGAGAGGAAGCATTTAATCTGGAGATTAAGAAAAAGAGTGGATCAAGTATTAATCTCAATATCCACCATTCAAAAGTTCCCAGCTCAGCATGCCTTTTAATGCTTTTTATTTAAAATATTATAACTCTGGTTCCATATTTTACCTGAGCCTTCCTAATATAATCTTGTATTTTCTTGATGTTCTTTTGGTTCTCCATATTGGCAGCATTAGCATGCTCCAGGGAGTTTTCTAGATCTCCTACATCAGCTTCAAGCTTCTTTTTTATACGTAGAGCTTCAACCTTGTTTTTAATGTTATCAAATATGTGTATTTCAAAACTTTTCTAAGGGGTAAAAATGTTCTTTATGCGGTGCTTTAAAAATTGGTTCTTATCAAATAATTCTAATAGATTTTGAAAAAAGTACTTTTTTAGGATTAAATTCAATTTGGAAAAATGGCATCTGCGCTAAATACCGGATAAAAAAGAAAAAGCTAAGTACTAAGTACTAAAACTTTTTTATTTTAAAAGACCTTTCTTTAAAATGTTTCTTTGAAAAAAAGAAGAAAAATTTCAAATTTTGAATATTTAACAAAACAGATAAATCTGCAAAACATGTTCAAAAGTAAAATATAAAATATGATCATGATTTTAATACTTTCTCATTTCTTTAATCATTTTCATTTCTCAATTTCTCACTAACCTTGGATTTTGACTCACTCTCAAGAGCTGCTTGCATAGATTCAAGAGCTTTAGCAAACTGCTTCTTAGTTCCCTAGATTAGTAATTTAATAATATTATGCATTAGATACAATCCAAGATATATATATGCAATTATACATAAATATCCTTTGCAAGAATTATGCCAGAAACTTGTAATATTATGAGAACAAATTGTAGTACTTGTAAACAGTAAATGGGTTTAGAAAAGTGAAACTTTACCCATAAATTGTATTTAATATCAGTCCCCCTTGCCTTTCCCCCCCCCCCCTCCTTCGCTCCGAAGTTTATTCTACTAGAATTTAATTCAATATTGAACGTAAACTATGTTAATCTATATACAGTGGGCCTAAACAGAGTTTCTTTCACGAACAGAGATTTTTTAAAATAAACGGAATGCTATTCGAAAAAGTGAATAGCTGATTGAAGGGTTAATTATTACTGCCACAAACTCAAAATTTATAGTCCTATGACTTTGCAACCTGATAGTGTAAACCATTTATATTTTAAACTATTTGATCCAACAGAATAGTTTGAAATATTAGATTAAAAGATCAGAGTTATTGGCTTACATTATTTTTTTGAATAACTTTTAACAGTTGCAGTGGGACTGGGAAAAGTTCCGTTAACAAACCGATTCCCGAAGTTGTGCAAGTTGAGTTAAAATATGTTGAAATTTAAAATAAGGAGTTTGAGGCGAGTGTTTACTTCCTTTAAAACATATTCAAACGTTAGTAAAGTGTTTAAGCCATTAGTAGGGCTGGTGGTACTAAAGAATAGTTTATAATTACCTGAAATTCTTCATCTTTTTCTGCCAATCTTCGTTCTATCTCCTGGCGCACTTGAGTAAGTTCAAGCTGGGCTCGGAGAACCTAAAATAAAACAGTGAGATCTAAAAAAACTCAATTTACGACTTAAAATAGTCAAATGAACATGAGACACATTAATTGTCACTTTGTGTAGTTGTAACAAACCTATTTAACTTGATTAGTGATTTAATAACTTACTATTAAAACTATTTGCATTGTAACAGTAAAAAATTACACTGCTTTAATGTCGTTTTCCTATTCCACATTTCTAACTTTAGTTCTTATTAAATTATTTTTATTGATTGAAACAACAAATAGAATCAAGATGTTAAAAATTAATTGGGATTAAATAAATATCTAGAAATGCTTTCATTTTCAATATTTCCAAAATTGTTTAATTCAGTTGCAAAATAAGGCTTCAATAAACTAATGAAATTGAGTCGCAGCCACAGTCTCAGATTTTCTTTATCTTTGTAGACCTGAGATATTCTGTTAGGTCAATATTGAATATCAAAGGTTTACCCCATAAAATTGCAAGGATATAGTGATTACAAAATTTGCGTTTGTTGCAAAAACTTTTAACATTCATTTATTAAACTTAAAAAGTTATTTTGTTATTTTCTCTTGGTTACCTTGTTTTCTTCTTGTTCAAGTGCAGATTCTGCTTCTGATAAAGCAGATTCAAGTTCAAGCTTCTCTGATTCTAGTCTTCTCCTTAAATACAATATTATACAGTGCTACCCTAAAAGAATAAGACTTCAGAGACAACTGTACGGAATAATATAATTTTTCCTTATAATCATGATTCCCTGCAACTATAAACCTTTTTTTGGCGCCAAATCATCAAATAAGCCATTTAAAGACCACATTTAATGCAGAAGACTTAATTTAATCTTGTGATCGTCGATACTGGAAGTCTTTTAATTCGTCTTTAAAGTCTTATACTTTGTGGGTAAAACTGTGTCACCTGAGGTCGAATTTTTAGTATTGAACATCCCTGCAAAATACCTCTTAAACATCTCTAAATGTCCGACCAAAAATACCCCAAAAAATCTGCTATCTGTCCATCAAAAAAGTTCTAGACTCTGATTTTCTTATTTTAAATATTGAACCTGATTTTATCAATTTCATGAATAGATCTTCCTCCTTCAGATATCTGGTCCATAATATCCTTAATCTCGTTGGACAAGTTCTTGTTCTCTCTCCTAACTTCATCAAGTTGCAAAATAGACTCATCATATGCGCTCTTGATACGGAAGAGTTCAGACGAAGCATTTCTTGTTTCATTCTGGGAAACATCAAGATCCAATGAGAGACCAGAAACCTTGCCCTTCCATTCAGAAACAATTCTAATATAGAAAAAATTGAAAAAACTTTTAAAATAATGATTATTATGGTTAATTTATTAATACCTGTCAAACTGCTTTGCTCTTTTCTCCATAGTTGCATGTAACATCTGTGCCTGATCAAGCTGACTTGAAAGCTCTTCTTTATCAGTTTCCAGCTTGGCTTTAGCCTTCTCAAGCTGAACCTGTTTATTGTGCAGATTGTCAACAGTGTTCTGAGATTCAGAAAGCCTGGCTTGAAGCTTAAGCTTGGACATTTCAAGCTCTTCTGCTTTTTGAATGCCTTCAATTTCATACTTTTGCTTCCACATTTCCACTTCAACATTAGCTTTCTTACCCTGAGCTTCCAAGTTTTCTCTGTTCATCAATTCTTCATGATAGTGTTCTCTTAGACCATCATATTCATGTTCCAAGTTTCTAAACTTAGAAAGGAGAGAAATCCTCTCTTTAGATTCTTCATCACAGATATGCTTTTGCTCCTCCAGAGCTATATTTAGAGAATCCCTAACCTTGGAGTTCATGAAAGCAACATTTTCTAACTCTTGAAGTTGTCTTAAAAGATCAGCATTTTCAGCCGCCATTTTTCTCTTAGAATTGTTAAAATCCCCAAGATTCAGAGTAGCCTCTTCACATTTTTTACTTAGATCATTCAATGTGTTTGTTAAACTTTTGCTTGATTTTTCAGCAGCAGATTTAGATCGTGATATTTCTTCAAAAGCAGCACGCACATCAGTTATCTCAGAAAGAATCTGCATCTTATCCTTTTCCACCCTAAAAATATTCATACTGTTAAGAAAACATCAAAAAGAATTTTAAAACATTTTACCTGTTTTTAATTTTTGAAAGTTGGTCAATCTGTTCCAACATTTCTGCAATTGCATCCTGATGTCTCTTTTTCAGACTAGCTACTGTGCATTCTTGCTGAATGTTGCATTCTTCTAAATCCTTTCTTAGCTTTGTTAATTCAGACTCCCTTTTCTTATTGAGCTCAATCTGAGCACTTGTTGCACCTCCTGCTTCACTTAATCTTTGGCCTAACTCCTCTAATTCTCTGGCAAGATCAGATCTTTGGCGTTCAGCTTTGGCTCTCGCTTGACGTTCAGCTTCTAGCTCCTCCTCCATTTCTTCGACTCTTCCTTGTAATTCTTTAATACACTTCTGAGACTTTCCCATTAAACCTTGCTCATCATCAAGCTTTGAGTGTAGTCCATTCATCTCCTTTTCTTTTCTTGCAATTATTGCTTCAAATTCTTTCCTTGATCTTTCCAATTCAAGCACATTTTGTTGAGCAAGTTTCAAGTCACCTTCAACTTGACGTCTTTCCTTCTCTATTTTTGCTCTATTTCTCTTTTCTTTGTCATATGCACCTTCAAGCTCATCCAGTGTATTCTCAAGTTTGGTCTTTAGCTTGGTCAAATGGTCCAATTTATCTGAAACATTGATCTGATCTTCTTCTGCTTTGGAATTGTTTTCAGCTAAAAGTTTCTTTTCCTTATTAAGCCGGTTGAGAACTTCATCCTGATCAGCAATTTCGTCATTGAGACCTCTTATTGTGTGATCTCTAGAACTCTTATCTTGCTCTAGCTTCAGGATTACCATCTCTAGATCTTGAATTTCTCTTTTAATCTGTCCAACCTCAGTGTCCTTTTGCTTTCTCTGTGCTGCAGCTGAACTTCTGTCTTGTTCAAGTTCTGCAAGTTTACTTTGGGACTGAGAAAGTTCATCTTCTAAGGCAGCTTTTTGTGCAGATATTTGAGCTTGCTTCTCATGGTACTGAGACATATTTCCTTGCTCAGAATCAATTTGTTTTAGGGTTGCCTTGTTCTCTTCTTCAAGAATCTTGTTCTCTGCCTCTAATTTTGTCTTGGTTTCAAGTTTCTCCATGTAAACATCATAGGTTGATTTTGCCTTTAATTCAAGTTGTCTCAGCTCTTCTTCTGGATTTGGTAAACCAATTAGTGCTCTTGTCTTCTGAATTATGACATACCATCCCCAGTTTCTCATTTGCATGTATTGCCTGAATTTCCTCTGGCATACCTTAATTAATTCTTTTCGATCTCTTCTCTTGCAAAAGTCTGGTTTTAAGATGTTCAATCTTGCCTGACCCTGCAGCATTCGTATAAGCTTATTAACAATGTCATCGCGATATTCCTCAAGCTTAGCCAATGCCCCAGCTCTAAAGAACACCATAGTGTGCCCAAGCCGGTAGGTGTCTCGACTAAAACTAATCTTATCCATGAGGGCGTACACTGCTGTTTTGTTCTCAGATGAACTTTCAATCTCTGCTTTTGCTAAAATCCAGTACCTCCATTTGAAGTCTTTGTAGTAAATCCTGTTTGGAAAACCTCTCATACAAATTCTAATGCCTTCCAATACACCGTTACAGGTTAGCTGATGCATGATAAGAGGTGGTTCAACATCTCCTGGTTTCTTGTGAGTATTAGGAACTAGACAGCGTACAAAGTGGGGTTCACAGTTGTAGAGAGTTGTCATTAGTTCAGTTAAGGAAACCAGGTAAACAGAGGAAACAGTTTTTCCTCCAGATCCTTTCTTTTTCTTCTTACCTTCTTCCTTAGGCGTAGCAGTTGGCTGGCCTGGATGATCTAGCCAGAGATGCACAATGAGATCATTGCAGCTGGTTGATTTAAGAATCTCAACAACTGAATCATTTACTGGATCTTTGTTTTTCTCCAACCAGCCAGTAACATTATATGATACTATTCCAGCATAATGAGAAAGAGCAAAATGAGCGTGCTTGTCAGTTTTGGACTGAGGTTTCAGAAAGATTGGTAGTTTTCCAAGAGATGCTTTCAGCTTTTCCTCAAAGGACTTATCAGTGGCTTTGGGGAACAATGACTCTTCTTCAAGAATTGCCCATAATCCCATGGGTTTTTCAAACATGACAATGCATGCTTGAAGATCCAGGCCAAAGTCCACCATTTCCCAATCAATACCTTCCCCAATATAGGTCTCTTGTTCAACCACAAACATATGATGATTGAAAAACTGCTGTAATTTTTCATTGACAAAATTGATGGAAATTTGTTCAAATCCATTGTAATCAAATATTTCAAATCCTGCAATATCAAGTACAGCACAAAAGTTTACTTTCTTCATAGTTGGGTCAATGAGGGTCTCATTACACTTTTCAATCAGCCACTTGAAAAGTCTATCATAGATTGCTCTAGCAATTCCACCTACTGCATTAGTGGCCTGCTCCACATTTTGACCTTTGGTAACCCACTCAGTTCCAACTTTAATTCTTGGTTTACAAAAGGCTTTGATCATAGCAGACACATCAACACCACAAAGAGTTGCTGCCTTAAAAGCAAAGGATCCTGTAGTGATATCAGGACACTCTGCCTGTTCATCTCGACCCTTCTGAACAAACCTTACCTCTCCAAAAGTCATGACTGCTGCAGTAAGCATGAAACAGCCAAATTTCTCAGTCTCAGAAAATCCAAGAACGTTGAAAGCATCATTTGTAAATTCCAATTCCTCATTGTCATCAATTGATTCAACCTTGGTCTTACCTTGTGAGACATACACATAATCATAAATGTCATCACTAAGATGACATGTATTCTTCAGTCCTTCTCCAATTCCATTTCCAAACTCTTGAAGGAGCTGGTAAAATATATGATAAGAACGCTCTACCTCTTGTTGTTCAGTAATTCTGGATTTTTCCAGTAAGTATGATACAATGTCACAGCCAGCCAATCTTCCAGATGCATTGAAGTGGATTCTTATGAACTTTCCAAACCTTGATGAGTTATCATTCCTGGATGTCTTTGCATTGCCATAAGACTCCAGAATTGGGTTTGTTGCCACAATTTGGTCTTCAAGAGAAACCTTGTTGTCAGATTTCTTTCCAGATGAGGCAACTATTGCCAAATAAGTGATAACTTTCTTGGTATTTTCAGTTTTTCCAGCTCCAGACTCCCCAGTGATAAGCATGGCTTGATTTTTAGTAGTGGTAAGCATGCCACGATAAGCAGTCTCTGCAATAGACCACAAATGAGGTGGAACCTCATTCCTCCTCTTACCAAGATACACTTTTGCCACCCGATGAGTGTAGATGGGATACCTCTTGTATGGATTGACAACCACCACAAACAATCCAGAGTAAGTATGAATCATCTTTGCTTGATAACGAGTTTTCAGATTCCAGAAGACTGATGCATCATTGAGAAAGGTTAGATTAACCATGTCTTCAACCTTCTCAAACTTGGGTGGATTAACCTTCCCAACTTCAGTTGATTTATGGGTAAATTTCTCATGACCTACACTTACCAAGCATTTACTAGAAGGATCATCTAGATCTCCAGACTCTAACAATCCTTCCCTAAATCCTCCAGATTTAGGATCAGGAATCCAAACGGATCTCTTTGTATCGTAAACCTTGTTCATATCAGATCGCTTCATTTCCATGGAAGGAACCAGGAATTCTGAAGGATCAGGATCTGGTTGACCAGTCTTGGTCAGCTTAATATGGCCGGGCATGATGAAGGGTTTCTTTCAAACCTAATAAAATATTCGATTTTAAAGTTACCCAGAGGAACTGATTATTTGCCATAAACGGTCATCTTTCCTCTCTTTATCATTGCAGATGATGATATGACATTCACTATTTTAAGATTTTACTATTTGACCCAATATAACTCATGTTTTAAAATATTAAAAGTCTACAACAACTGGCTGCACAGATATTAGGATCAGAAAATTTTTTTTTTAAGCAAGTAATCAGTTCTCTTATATAATTGTAATGAATGGTACTTTAGATTGGCATATTTTCTTATAAATGGGAAAAACTGCTTTCTGATTAAAAAAAGGATTGTGAAGTTTAATATCTTTAGCTGAAGTGCCCGGCGTTTCCCGTAAAATAAAAATAAAAAATCTTTGAAAAAAATAAGTTTTTGAAAAAAATTCTAATTTTGAAAATCAAAATCATTTTATTTTAGCCATGATTAAACTAGGATACAGCTGTATTCTCTCAAAAAGAATTAGCCAATTCAGTCGTTTGGCCAGCTTTTGCTAACATATTTATATATGAGCGAAGAGCTTTATTATAAAGATGACTATAAGTTGCATATGTTCTCCTTAGAATTTGATTATTTTCAGGAACAGTTAGAAATAATTAGAAAAAAAACTCTGCAGTATTTATACAGGAAAAGGTTTAAAAAATACCGCTGTATGACATGGTCTGTTTTAAATTGAGGGCATATTTAAATTAGAACCACAGTACCTTTGATATATAAAAATGTTACTAGCAATTATTTACTTTTTACTATTTTCTTTAGTTCTGCGCGGATTTCTGTAAAAATTCATTTGTTGATCAGGATAACACTTATAAATAACAGCTGCTCATGATTAGAGATACACGCGTTCAACTTTTTGTCATTTTGTTCCTTCAATGTTCGTAAACGAGCCATTTCATTCGTATTTTTCCAGCTCTTCAAAAAAATTGATTTTGTTTGTTCTCAAAATTATCGTTCATTTACTCACTGAACGATTGTTCAGTAAAATCGTTCGTTTAATAAAAGCGTTCCTTCAGTAAAATAAACAACATTTTTTCAAAAATTTGTTCTAAAAAATTGTTCATTCTCAAAAATGTTGTCTGTTCGAAAAAAACAATGCCCATCTCTACTCATGTGTAAAGTTTTCTATTTAAAAAAAACAGAAATTAATGTGAATTAAGATTGGGTCAACCCCAAAAGAATGTTCTTCTGAATTTAGTGAACGTTTCCTCTAACCGGCCTCTCTAAGGAATCTGTAGAAGTACTACCTGTTTGAGCCTGAAGAGTATACTGGCTGGTGATAAGTTGACCTGCCTAGTATTTATACCCCCCTCGACCTGGCGTTGACCTGCAGCGCCAGGAATTATATTGCCGTGTTTTTCTATTATTCATCCCCTGCATTGCACTCAGAGGGGAATGAGGGGAAAACAAAAATATTTTTCTGTTTTCATCAAACTAAATATATTTTTATTTGTGACCCACGTTTATTAGGTATTTTAAGCACTCAGGATTCCCATCAAAAAACAAAAACAATATCATTCAGGACTCAAAAATAATAAATAAAAAATGTTTTTGTTTAGGTTTAACAACTAAATTAAATCTATGTTATACTTAATTTAGGTCTTAATTTGTATAGTGTGTAATTTTGTTGGGTGTCATAAAATAAAAAAGACGTTTTTAATAAATACATTTTTTCGAAACTTATTTCAAATATCTTAACTTAAACTTTTCAAAAAGAGTTTTTTTAATAATTCAATGACTCTTACCTTACCAAAAAAACTAAGCAATAACGATGTGACGTTTCAAAAAGATTATAGTTTCCTTATTAACAGAGAGTGCATGGTTTTTTACATCTTTCATACTTTCTCGTTTATACTATTAAAGTTCTTTTTTTGAGAAGGTTTAAACAATAAGAAGCCTACAAGCAAGGTTAAAAAAGAACCCTGTATATTTAAAACAAAGTAACTGATTTATATTTTAATCTTTGTAATACTATTTCTAATATTTTAAAATTCAAGATTGAAAAAACGAAAATTTACACCATCAGATTGCAAAGATATGCGGGGATAAAAAACTTACATTTTGTGACGAGTGTTCGATATCTTTTATATTTAAAAGACCCCCCCCCCCCCTCTTGTGACCTGATTCTGAATCCATAAATCAAATTCTGTTTGAATAAACATGAAAACACAATAAACAAACACTCACAGGAAAATCATCTGTGATATAGCTAACTACATAACATTGTTTTTGAAAATAAACATTCTGTATAAGAGTAAAAAGAACAAAATTGTCGGAAAAAACAAAGTTAAAAATCTAGTTTAAACATTTCATTTTTAACTTAGGGTGAAACTATTTAATCGAAAATGTGACATCCTTTTTGCACCAGCAACACATTATGCAGTGTAGTAAATATAAGTAATATTTATAAAAGAAAAAAAACAAAACTCATTCATGCAGAAATTAACGATTAAAAAAACAGCGATCGCAAGGGTACTTGGTAAGGTCGATTTTTAAATTTTGTTTTGTTATAGGCTAAAACTAGTTCTTTGATACTTTCATAAAAAAACATTTTTCAAAAGCTGTTTTTGCTTATAATTTTAAAGGGAATTTTCACAAATTTAACGGTTGTGATAGTAGTGCTTCAGACGGACAATAATTTATTTTAATTTTCCTGAAAATCCAATTTTTGTCAAAATTTGGAAATTGTACAATTCATCCTCATTCTGAATTAGGATGTTCAACATGCCTGAAAAAGTTTGCAAATTGCAAATAAAAAGTATTTGCTACCCAGTCAAAGCAAATGAGAAAGGGGCGCTGTATCGAGAGGGGGAGTGGGTTTACACTTTACAGGGGAGAATATAGTGGGTTGGAATTATACAGGAATAAAAAAGGGGTGTATACTAAAGGAAAGTTAGGTGGGGGGTGTCATATAAACAGGAATAAGGGAGGGGGGTGTATACAGTGGAAAATCATTGGGGAGAAGGGTGTATTAACTATTAAGGAGAACAGGGTTGGGTATACAAGGGGAAAAGGGTTGGGTATACAAGGGGAAAAGAAAATGGGGGAAAGGGTAAACAAGATAAATAAAAAGGGGTGAGGTAAACATTATACAATACATTGAAAAGAAGGGTAGGATATTTAAGGAAAGGGGTGCGGGGGGAAATCACAGAATAATCTCGTAAATTCAAACTATAAAATAGAAATTCTTGACCATATCTAGCTTTGACTTTGAGTCTTTAAATTGCCAGCTTAATGCCACGTAAAGGAATTGAGTCTTTGCCACATACTCTTATTTTCTAATCACTATATCTATGGAACCAAATGTTGCAGACCTTAGATATTTCAAACTATGAATTCTGTTAGATCAAATAATCTGAGTTTGAAATATCAAAGGTTTACAATATCGAGTTCTAAAGATATTGAGGTTTAAATATTTGATTTTGTTCCAAAGACTCAATTCCTTTGTGTACATATATTCCCTAAATACAAAACAGCTTGCAAACAAAGTAATCAAGAATTACAAGCGTTTCTGTAAATAAATAAATAAGAAAAAGTCTGTTATCCATTATCAGTCAAAGGTTTAAAGGGTACCGTAGGGATTCAAGAATGCCACTCTTTAAATGGATGGTCACTTGAAATTACGCTTACAGTCCCTTTAATACTAAAATACTGAAGGTAACAAAAATAATGCAGCATAATATATTCTCAACCTGAATAATTCCTAATGCTTCGATGAACCTTCCTTGTCCATGTTTATCATCATTATTCCATTCTCCTTCATAAACAGACACATTGCTAAAAATTTTATTTGTTTTTTTTTCATTGAGGCTAGAAAGCTTTCTTGTTTATATGTAAACTATACACCTAGTTATTTTAACTGTTTAAGATCACACTAAATCTGTTGATATCTGTTTACTGTAATATACAAGCATAGAAAATACATTTTCAGAACTCTGTATTCTCCAATAATACTTTAGTCTGTATCAATCCAGATAAAACACTCTCTGCATTCTTTAGTCTGTATTGTTCAGACACAACTCGCTCTAGAACTCAATATTCTACAGTTATACTTTAGTCTGTATCAATCCTGATACAACACTATCTGTATTCTTAGTATGCATTGTACAGATACAACTCGCTCTAGGATAGGGTTTTCCAGTTGATTTTTTGCAAAAAAATTGTGCAAAAATTCTGACTTAAATTTCGTATTTATGCAAAATTTCGTGAAAAAAAAACATTTTTTAAGAATGAATGCACAATTTCTTGCAAAACTGGATTCAAATTGATACAAAAATGATGCGGAATATTGTGCAAAAAAAGTCATTTCATGCAAAATCATGCAACTGTTGCGCAAGAGAATTGACTGTTTCGTTGAAACCCTTCTCTCGGACTCTATGCTCTCAACACGAAAAATATTATATTTGTCTAAACGTAATGAAGCTAAGGTTCATGTCCAACTAATCTTTATTTTGGGTTTTTTAGTACATGTCAATAATATGGTTTACAAAATATGGGATTTGTTACTATATTTATTACAAATGGGGGGGGGGGAGGGAAATGTTAAACAATAGGGTTATCTATCTCTGTTTTCATCAAACTTCTTCATTTTTCCACAACTCCACATCATTATAGATTTTACTCTTGGTTTCTTTTATGCATCCATTCTTGTCTCATTTCCATCTAGTTTTCTTGTTCAGCAATATACCATGTACAAATGAACTTATATTAAATTTTCCATATCTCTTATACTTCTCTGGCAAGATAATCCTTAATTTTGAACAGGAACTTGAGTACATTGTTTTCTTGGAACATTTCCGCCATTAGTCCGCCTCCTTGATTTTTTTGATCATCTCTCCGCCATGAATTCTGCCTCTCACATCATGTCCGCCATTTGTCCGCCTCCTCTTTAATATTCGTCATGAATCTTGCCCTTTCTGCCATTTGCTTGCCTAATCCTGCCTCTCACTACTGCAATCACTAGATATCTGTTCTTCTTTTCCCAAGTTTTAACAGGAAGGAAGCTGGTTTCCTACTCGTATTTCCAGTCTTCATAGGACAGGCAATCTTACTTCTGATGGCTGGCTTTCTTGCAGAATAAACAACTATCTCTGGCCTGTAGCGCGTTTACATCACCAGGCATCTCTCCTTTTTCATCTTTAGACTCGTACACAATTATTTCTAGCAGTGTATTTACTTGCATGGGTATTTTTCCTGTTTTTTCCCCCATCCATATCATGGTGTAGCTGGTGGTCCAGAACTGCCTTGATCTCGTTTTCATGCTGCAGTTCCCTTCAACTCTGCATTACACAGTCCCATGACAATTTCATCCTTGAATTCTACCAGGCTCATCTTGTCTTGAGCATATGCTTGTATCCATAACCTCATCTTGTCAGTATAAAATTTCCTGGTATCTTTCTCACTTTCCTGTTTGCTGGCTAGGTATTCCTGTTTACGGCCTTCCTCCTAATTCTCTCGTGAAAATCTCTCCAACAGCTCCGTTACAAACACTCCTGTTTAACATTGCTTAAATGCTAACCCTGTAGGACAAAAAGGCACTATCTCTTGTCTAGCTGGTCCTGTGATGAAGGGCCACAGCATCCTTTACCATCTTCATTTAGGATTGTTTCCCATTTATGCAGTTAAACAAATGAGTTTCCAAATTCTCGCACCATTATAACACTTTCTCCAGGTTTCTACTATATTAAGGATCATTCTTGACAAAATTCAGTATTCTCTCTTCGATAATAATGTTAGTTTCACTTATCTCATCATACATGCTAAGGGTTGCTCTCCCAGCTGCAACTAACTTCCTTTAGATACTTCATGTATTCTTGTATCTCATCTATCTTCTTATTCTGCTCCAGCACTCCCTTCACTCTTAAGGTCTTTTCCACTGTTTGTACCTTTTCCGCAATTTTTCTGTTTGCAGGATCTTTGCTCCATCTCGTGAATTATTATATGGAACTCTGTGGATGGAGGGTGTCCACCTGTTGCTCCCGTTTCCTCCAGATCAGGTACAGGTTCATTCTGGTACTCTGGTATCCTATTCTTCGCTAGGTACTCTAGGGTACAATCAAAAACTGTCCACTGTTACACTATGGTACTCTATACATTCTGGTATACTGTACGCTCTAGTACTCTGTACACTCTGGTTGCTGCACTGTTTCTGTTTCTTCCGACACAGTTTCTCTTATTACCAGTTAAACAAGGTGAGCACTGTACTTTTTCCCTTGGAGTCCCTGGCATTTAATTATGTAATTCTGTAATTCTCTGAAAAATAATTTCCTAGAACTAGGCATCATAGGGCGCTTCGCGCCCCCTTTCATGTAAATAATTTTAGCCTTTAACTGTTGTTGCTTTGA